AAAAGGACTTTGGCAAGATTGTGGGGTGCAGCCAATATGATTCAAATTCATTCAAGTTCTTTTTGTTTGTCTGCTAAAGCTTTTAAATTCTATCAAGGCATTAATGTTTCTCCAAATTATATACAGCATCTTAGTTTCACATGAGCATTACTTACAGCTGGATCTTTACTGGAATTGGGCTCCCGGATGGACCCTGTGCATTGCCCCTTGTTAAACTTCTTATTTGTATTATGGTTTGGCGTGTTGATGGGATTTTATTATTCAGAGTTTTTAGTTATTACTCTACTACAAATGTGAATTTTCATTTGAGAACCATCATGTGGAACATTTCTATTCCAATATGGGTATCATTAGAAAACACCTGGAGGATGGTCACAACTGTCAAGCAGGTATTTCATAGAGATGTGTTCATGTCAGATTATCCCTTTCATTGCAGAAACGTTAGATTGAAGAGAGTATCATGGATTAGTTTTACACCACCTTTATGTCCCGCCTTGTCAGGATACCTGTCATGACACTCTTCGTGACACTCCGCAGTTACATGATACTGGGAGAGAAACAATGTGTTCAGCTGGCATCTTTGTTGTGGAGTGAAGAAGGATAGCCTGTTCTAGCTGTAGCAGATGTCTTAGGTATCTTTAATTGTAAGACTCATGAAAGCCGAAACTAGAATGATTGAGTTATGTGTTTAGTAGATGATGTATGTTGAGTTGAGTCTGTACAAGTGTTTCTATCGAGGCATGATGTATTTCTTACCTTCTACCATGATAAACCTGTTATTTCTCATGTAAATAGAACTAAAACATCACTGTACCGAAACCTATTTGCCTAACAGAAGGTGATTAGTTCCTTCTTGTCTTACCTTGTGCTTGCTTATGAAAAGTCACAGAAAGGTGCAAATGTTAGAAATGTTTCCTTTGACCACTGTTGAAGACTTTGGTCCAACTAGTCATGGAAATTTTATTTGTTTACAAGAGTCACCTGATCTGTGAAGTTAGTCTTTAAAAATATGTAATTTTGATAGAAACATTTGTTAAAAGTGAAAACAATAACCACTGAGTTTGGAGTTTCAGCTGGACTGTAGGCAATTTACACTTACATCCTATCGGCATATAGCATTACAGTATGAGCTGGGCAGAAGGGAAAATACATGTAGTATGGCTCATGGACTGCATGACAGGACAAGTGGTCTAATGTGTTTGTGGACAGATAGGGCAAATCCTGCTGACATGGTGTGAGGTCCTGTTAGAAGATGCTGAATTATTGATGAAGCACTGTAGACACAGATGTTGCATTCATTACTGTGCTGTGCAGGGAGCCATAGTGTCTGCCTATGTCCTTGAGCCACTATATGTATTTCCTTATTTGGGTATAGCATACTGCTTGTTATGTTATAACTTTGTTACATTCTATTTGTATAGAGTTTTTATTTTAATTTTACTTCATGACATATTCAGACCATGGAATATTCTTCATTTTCACCAGTCCACAGAAATGTTCTGCCACATTACCATCTGCTTTAAAAGTGGTAACAGGTAGCCCACAAGGAAATGCCACAAGTCCTTCTTTAACTGTTCCTTTCTCAGACAAGTGGATTTATGTTAAGTTTAAATCGTATGTAGTCATTTCATATTGAAAAGAATATTGAGGAAAGTATTTTGATAAGACATTGTCCAGTCTTACTTTTGTTCCTTGTCAGACACAATGTTTGAGGTCTCTCAAGATGAGGTGTATATAACATGAAGTGGTGTGTTTATGTACATTCACACTTGTCAAGACAGCTCCTGGCATGGGTAGTTTGTGCCCAGTCATGTAACATCAACACTTGAATAAATACCAGCATCCCTCAGTAAACACACGCAAATGTACACGAATCTCACCAATGGCTGTTCACCTCAACACCTGCTATACCTTCAGGTAGACTCAGTGTGAACTTTTGGGGCAGGTTTGATTCAAGTTCCTGGTTTGAATACTTTTCCTGAGTCCAATACAAATAATCAAGGTTATATTCAGGTCCACTCAGACATGTTTGGATTGTTGTAAGTTGCATTTTAAAAGAATTTAACTGTGCAGGTATTTGTATGCTGCTTTGCGTTAAGACTACAACTTCAGAAATGTCAGTCCTGATTGTGTTTCAATCCACACAGGTGCCGAGTTTTTACCAGATACAAAATGTTGCATGTTTTACATGTAACAAATTGAGAATATAAAGAAAAAATTACATTGCAAGTGCTCCAAACCCTGGTTCCTGGTGGGGATTCCAAGTTAGATTTGGCCCAAGCAATATATGCTCGTAGAAAGACCCTGCTACATAGATGTAGTGACTGGATGACTCTGTTCATGGTGTAGTATGGTAGCCTTCATATTGTCAATCTCACGCCGAAGACCCGGGTTCGAATCCCCACATGGGTACAATGTGTGAAGCCCATTTCAGGTGTCCCCCTGGCCGTGATGTTGCTGGAATATTGCTAAAAGCGGCGTAAAACCAAACTCAGTCAGTCAGTCAGTCATATTGCCAATCACTGAATTGTCTGGTTTTGGTTTAATTACTTGCTACGTACTGTCTTTTTATCTGAGTGCGGTGTTAAACTACAAACATACTACCTTCATATCACCAATCACTGACTTGTCTGGTTTAGGTTTAATTACTTGCTACCTACTGTCTTTTTATCTGAGTGCGGTGTTAAACTACAAACATACTACCTTCATATCACCAATCACTGAATTGTCTGGTTTAGGTTTAATTATTTGCTGCCTACTGCATCGGTCAAAATTAACGTCGTCCTTAGGCCTGAAGCTGACTGAACACCACTCGGACCTACAGATTTTGTTTTCTAACGATCCTTATGGCCGACAGCTTTTTCATACCCAATAACTAAGAGTATTATTTCCATATTAAAATATGGTGCTTACACATTCTGATCAGGACCCACAACTTTGTATGGTTCTAGGCCCTTAGGGCCTGCAGCCTTTCAGGGTTGTGGGCAAACACTGGCCTACTGCCTTTTTAGCTGAGTATGGTGTTAAGCTACAAACATACCTGAATCTTGTCCAGATAACATGGTATGTGATAACAAAGTTAGCCCTGCTGGTCCAAATCATATAAACATGTTAATAATTGCCTCTGGTGTTATTTGCTGTTACTTATGGAGTTGAGGTTTTGTTGATGCTGATGGAAAACTGATTTGATAAGATCATGTGGCCGTCTTCAGCACCATACAGGACAGGTTGTGTATCCACGCTTGACATTTTGTTATTCTTACTGTTTACATCAGCTTGATGAGTTGGGGTGTGCCTTGGGTCTGTGACCTTCACAGCATAATGCACAGGAACAAATTGACATTTGAGTTGTTAATTGCTGTACCTGTTAGGAATCATGATGGGCCAGTGCTGGATATGTTTACACACTCCTTTCAACATTTACCAAATGGCTGTGGTGCAACAAAACCATTTTTAGAAAGAATGAACTGTCCTTTCCATTTTTCTCATTATCTCACATTTTCTTTTCTTTCTTTCTCATTAATGATGTTCTGTGCTACTGTGCTACTTCAGTCTATGAGTGAGTGAGTTTAGATTTCTGCCGCTTTTAGCAATATTTCAGTGGGGACTTGAACTCGGGTCTTCGGTGTGACGAATGAACGCTTTAACCACTAGGCTACCCCCCCACCCCTGTCCCATGGGAGAGCCTGTATAGTAACCTAGGAGGATTCTAGGTTGAAATGGGTTCAGGAAGCAACTTGGCCTGACCTTGTGACTTGGTTGATGGAAGGTCAACATGCCCAAGGTCATGACTAGTTGCTCATAATATCTATCACTGGATTGTCTGATCATTGGGCTTGATTCTTTACTGACTGCCGTCATGTCACTGGAATATTCCGTCTTACACATCCAACACATCCACATGGACTCTTGGTGGTAGTTATCAATGTTGATGCAGTGTGTACCATATCAGTTACACCGTAACCACCAAATGCAAGTAATTGTATCAGATTGCTACCATTCTTTACAGGCAGCACATTATATATCAAACATCATTTGTTCTCTACTTTTCCAAAATATTTGCTGTTGCATTTCATTTTGATCTCTGTGAAAATACCAAATTCTGAGGAAAGATATATAATTGTTCATTTCATTATTTTGATTGAGTTAATTGAAATGGCAGAAAGAACACTGAGCTTTTGAGTTTCCTTGTGTCTCAATATGTCTCAAGACCTGGTGTCACCATGGAAAGAACTACTAAACACCTTTTTCTTCTTGAAGTAGTTAAAGCTAATGTCAATATCATGTCCTTTTAGAGGCGATAAATGTTAAGGTCAGTTCGCAGAAAAACAATCTTCAGCAGGCAAGCACGTAACCTCAGAACAATTCAATTTCTCTGCCTCGAAATGCAGGGTCTTGGTAACCTTTGAGTGCAAGTCATATTGAACTATGTTTGCACAAGTATATTTGTGGACTTTAATTCCTGTTATATGAGACAGTGCAGCTATGACAGGAAAGTCACACATTTAGGTTCCTTTCCTAATTGAGTTGACAGTGACTTTGGCAACAACAAACAATTTGTCTTAAAGGACAATTTCTTATTTACATTTGACATTTCTATTTCATTTCTATAGCATGTCATTAGGCCTAAAAAAAAATGTTATGGTTCTGATTACCCGACCGACCCTTGAATTCTCGTGCCGTTCTCTTATTTTATATGAATAAAATAAGCTTTATTTACCATTGTTTTTTCCCCGGCACTGACGGACATTGGTCAATTTGATAGAGACCCTAAATTTTAAAGAGGTGTAATCGGAACCACAGCGGGTTTTTTTATTTGGCCTTACAGATACTGATACAAGCAAGTAAGCACCTCCATGGACAATGTGAATTAGGTACAGCAAGCAGACTTGTACCATTTTGTGTTTAATGGAAATTTACCCAGATCTATGTGACTCGATGAATTAGTGTTTTCAAAATGATTTCTGTACCATCTGTATCATGTATCGCTTGTCTTGCAGAGTTCGGCCCCAGAATGCTAAGGAACGGATCGACATCTGCCAGGTGTGCACCACCGTGCCCAATAACGAGCCACAGGTACTGCTGGGGAAGGACAAGTCCTTCACCTTCGACCATGTGTACGACATGGACACTGTGCAGGAGACCATCTACAACACATGTGTCAGGCACCTCATTGATGGGTAGGAATCTTTCCCTTTTTCATTCAATAAATGTTCCTAACTCTTAATGAAGACTCATACCGGTCGGCCCATCAGATCGATATGCTATTTTCGGCCGACACATATCGTCTGAGTGATAAGTCAAATTTAACTAATGGTACAAATCAGCCACTCGAACCAGTGTTAATTGTGTTTAGAGTATGTAGAGCCTGTTCTAGTTATTCAGGGGCGGTGGGGTAACCTAGTGGTTAACGATTTTCGTTTGTCACGTCGAAGGCCCGTGTTCGATTCCCCACATGGGTACAATGTGTGAAGCCCATTTCTGGAGTCCCCACCGATATTGCTGTAATATTGCTAAAAGCGGCATAGAAACATACTCAGTCAGTCAGTCAATCTAGTTACTCGGCAAGTTGGATATGGCGCAGCCAATCAAATTGCGTTTGGTGTCACGTGGGAAATGTTTACATACAAGCGCGAAACATAGCTTCGTCTGCTTCAAAGAAACCACGCCTCGATTTTTCACAACTGTTCATCTTCAATTTCAAGTTCTTGAATGAGATGCTTGTATGCTGCATGCATGTTGCGACGGAAAATCCAATGTCTTGTCAGACAACTTCTCGTTTTCATCGCTTTGGCATTGCCGTCTACTTCACATAGTATCGCACCAGAGATAACTGCTGCTAAGTCTGCTTCAGACATTTTGATACCATGGAAACAAAATACTGCGAGATATTATGAGATCGACACTAATATCGGCAGATCGAATTGTGTTAAGGGTACCAAATCGATGAGTCGTTATTGGTTACAACCACCAAATATTATTTACAATGTATGGAAATCGGCAGGTCGTTACGTCATGCTGACCCGTGTGAGTCGCGCTTTGCATTTCCATTGCTCACAAAAACAGATTTGCATTATAACATTTTGAGAAGTCCGGAGTTTCACAAATATGTTATTCTTAACTTGACATTTTCTTGTATACACCAGTAAGTAATTAGTGAGTGAGTTTGGTTTTATGCCACTATTAGCAATATTCCTGCGATATCATGGCTGGAGGACACCAGAACAGTAAGTTATGAAATATGGTCAGATTGATAAATGGAAAATGTATGACTGCAGCAGCACAGATCAACCAGACAAAACAGTTACTATAACACATTCGTTTCTATAGAAAACAAATAAACTTTAGCCCGAGGCTAATTGTTTATCATCATGACAGCTCAGTGAATAATGTTTTGATAATGGTAAACATCAATCTACACCTGGTATATTTAACACAAGAATAACTGTCTCACTACATTTTTCTCATTAGATTAACATTTATTTTATTTAGAAATGTCAGGATAACATTTAGATACCAGATTGTGATTCCTAGCTTTTACCAGATGACATGTGATTGATTTTCTTCACTTGATAGATCTACCTCTCTGCTGTCAAGACTAACTATAGACTCATATTGATATGGACGAATATGTGTAAGGTCAATGAGCAAAAGTTCAATGTTTTCATTGTTGGTGTTGTCAGGTGAAGACGTGGCAAGCACAAGTAATCTATCAGACGTTATACAGAAATAGTGATCATCTGAAAATTTGCACTCCAGGATGACGTCACGTTACATGAGAACAACTCAGTAGTTTCAGATTAAAGTATTTTTTTATGTCCTTTTGCTGCTAATATTGCTTTTAAAACGTTCCCTTCAAGCGAATTCTTTTGCATCTATGTACAAGTTTTATAAATGGTTTAGTCCCATATTTATAGTTTACTGTGTATCTCCTTTAATCAATCTTGATTCAGTGTGTCAGGTTGATTTGAAAACCATTTAAGATGTGACTGGTATCAGAATATCAGAACCTCCAGGAAACTATATAGCTAAAAATGGAGGTTATCTTGTACACCATGTTTTTTTCTAGTGTAATCAAATCCACAGTTGATAAAGATATGTTTTAACATAACATTCAGAAGAAAAAGTAGAGTATGTATTTCAGAAACATTCAGCACTGAGTCAGAATTTTCCATGTTCTGCTGCTCTTTATTCCTCAGCTATCAGACCCGTGAAGATCCGGGTTAGAATTGGTTGGGTATTCAGGCTCACTGACTTGGTTGACACATGTCATCGTATCCCAATTGTGTAGAACGATGCTCATGCTGTTGATCATGGGATTGTCTGATCCAGACTCAATTATTTACAGACTGCCACTATATAGCTGGAATATTGCTGAGTACAGCATTAAACAACAATCAATCAATCCTCAGCTGTCATGCCTGTGGGGTCTTCGGTTTGTGTCCTTCCCTCGAAATACCTGTGTCGTTCCCTATGCATGTACTGAGATAGTTTGTCACCAGTCTGATCACACCTAATTGGTTTGTAATGGCTGTGTGGCATCTATATCCCATCTTTATACCAGGATCAGTTAACAAGACCACCCAGTGAGGCTCATATTGTTTGACAGCGTCTTTAATTGTTTCACTCATCATACTATGGAATCCAGACAGTGGAGGATGAAACGTAACCTTTATAATTAAACAGGCTTAGTTCTTGTACTTGCTCTTAAAGAAGCTTAAAAATAAACACTCTTGAGATAGTTTACTGTTCTTACCATATGCTGTCAATACTTTCAAAATACACGTTTTGAACTATATTTGTTTATTCTATATGATGCAAAGTAAGCCAAGTGATGAAAACTGTCATAAGAGTATAAGTTGTTGAATTTGTATTAATGACAATATCCTTGTATTGATCCTGCTCCTTCATCACATTAAACATGCTCAATAAGTATCCCTGAACTCCTTCAGAAATATTGCAGTGTCATCTTTAATATTCCTGTCAGTGCTTCTCCATTAATATTATTACTCGAATGCTTAAGATTCTTATAATGTCAGTATTTATGACAAGAAAAGTTTACAATGAAAATGTATATATAGATGAAAGTATTTGTATCTGTTATTGTGAGCTTAAACATAGCCATCATTCAACTGGTATGTTTTTAACAATGTATGAATACAGAACAAAATCTGTACAATTTGCTATGTCTCCCATGTACTTGGTTTCGTCAAGGTGTGCTTTACAGGTCTTTGTTAAAGTTTGTCAAATTAGGGTGAGCCAGCAAGCATGAGATCTATAATTTTCATTATCTAGCTGACCATGAAATGACCATGTGTTGTCTGCGGATACTTGGGTGATGTGAATCACGTCAATACAAGGTCCATGTGTTACAAAACTGACCAGGGCCTGTGTATCTTTTTATAGAAAAAGCAAGGTTGAGTGGTCATGTCCTGAAACCCCTGTTATTGAAGTTTTTCGGATCAATGGTTTTGTGAGACCTTGGAAACAGTAAATAGCAATATGTGACCCATTATCTTGATTTGGCTTTTGAATTCCTGCCTTATTATTGTCAAAGCTGCCCCTAGATGTCAGATTGATATACACCTGTGGACATATGGCACTAATGAGACCAGGAGATTTGCACAACTAGCAGTAACACTTTTAATGGTGGATGTGTCATGTGAATGGATCTGGTCTGAGTTACAATTAAATATAAAGCCACAAAACACATCCATGTTGATGAGAAATCTCTGTTAAAAGCATGCACAATTGTTTGATTGAGACCTTTTTGTGATTAGTGTTTATGAATTAGTATCAGTTAGTTGTGACACCAGTTTGTTAACACTAACCTGGAACAACCCGAAAGATTTGATGTATTTTACACTATAGCTATTATTTTCTGGCCAGGCACAGTATTATTTCACAGTACTGCAACAATATAGTCTTCTTACTATTTTACTTTGAATCTAATATTCATTTAAAATTGATTTCCTTAATGATCCAGATCCAGCTAAAGTGTTGGTATATAGCTCGCTAACAATATCACAACATTTAGGTCAGAAATATTTTCAACTCAGGATGTAGAGTGATCGTCAACAGGTGGCTTGTCCAACATGCCACCATTTAGGTGACTCACCTGAGATTACATGTGTTACCTGACAGGATAGAGATTGTTACTATTTCACATTTTCTTCCCTGACACTGTTCTGTCATCACATACAACTACACTCAGATGTTTACACCCAGGCCACATGTTTTGCCTGTGGTCTCCTGTCTACAGTTCTATGTTGACCTCTTCACTATACATTGTCCTCTTGGATCAGCTTGACCCTAGGTCAGCTTCCTGCTATCATGTCCAGTAAATCGATCATATCCAGTTTCAGGTACTTTCTGTGAAGGATCTTTGATAGGGATGTCTAAGGTCAGGTAGCAGGTCACTGACCAGACATCAGGTAATCTAAACCTTTTGGGTCATCTCTTGATGACCACAGTGTACTACAGATACAAAGAGGCTCTTGTGGGCTCTATTTGTCCTAGTTGACCACAGCTTCATAGTTAGACTAACAACCAATCTCTGAAATGAACATATTGTACTGAAAAAAAAGTTAATAGTAAAAAAAAATAATATATAATGAAAAGGAGCCCTGAGACTTTCTTCATTTTCAGAAGCTGAGGAAATCTAGACTTGCCACATTTTCTAGACTTGCGTGGGCTTTCTTGGATATATTTACTTCAGGGTCTGTACGACAGACTACTTCATAGTCTTCCACCTTCAGTGCATGTCCTAGAAGTTTGATCCTTTGCTGTTACTGAAATTAAATAACTGAAATATGTGGACTTTCACACTGTATCTGTTTATATTCTTGTGTGAGAACCTCGATGGAGGAATGTTGAAATAGTCGGTTCAGATACAAATTACAAGTGCTGGACTGATTGATTGAATAATCTGTCCATAGATTGATCTCGCTTACGTCAGTGATTATCGATAGGATTGGGAGACTTACTGTTATTCATTATAAAGGAAACTTGAAATTTAACTTTAGAAAGTGTGTTTATATTGTTATGTTTGTTAAATCAAGACAATAACACCTAATGCAGTTTCCTGACTGGTAAAACTGAAAATAGTGTAAACAACATACTCACATGCCTGTCTCAACAGGAAGTATCCTCCATTGTCTTGATCGTCAAGTATTAATAGGTGCCTGTTTCATTGGCTCAATGTTTGAATGTGTCCCGTTATTGCCCACAATAGTTTTGTGGAGGGGTTTACTATTATTGATCGATTTCTCAGCTCCGATTACCGATGTGCATATTGTGAGTGACAACCAGCAGTACAAGATACATTGGTAAAATAGTGTTTGGATGTTTTGGAGTATATTATTACATCCTTATCCTGTGAATGATACAGGATTTAGAAAATACTCCCAAGACATCGTGTTCCACATATTACAAAAGTTGACATCCTTAAATTTACACGCCTGTTTATTGTTTAACGAATAATTGTGAAGGAAGAATTTGGCATTCACATAATCAAATCAACATGGTTTAATTGTATATTTAGTTCACTCAAAAACAGTTTCTCTATTTACCTACACCCGCTTCATACTATCCTAAAATATAAGGAATTTTTGGTAGATGAGTTTGATGAGCCTATGTAATTTGTTAAACCTCATACTTGTGTCTCCATTGCAATTTGGAAATTTTAATGTCGTAATACTTTGAGCATTATGTCTTCTCTCTCTCTCACTGAGACAGTGATGGCGACTTTACACGCCTTGGGACGATTTCCTGTTTCAGGGCTGTGTGATTCATCCAGGTATTCATAAGTAAGTCTGCCATGTTATTTAATGTTTTTGTATCTTTTGCAGATGCTTTGATGGTTACAATGCCACAGTGTTCGCATATGGACAGGTATGTACAACAAAGGCATGACGTGCAAATAAATGTCAAATTAGTGAGATGTATCTGATCCACAAGCAAATGGATTCTGCCCTTGTCATCCTTGTTGCTAGGATACATAAAATTACAGCCATGTCCTGTTTCATCATCAGATAAGGCGGTCACTGACCTGCGTGAACTGTAATGCATATCTGGTATACTACTCAAAAGAAATTAGGGAACACCTAATTATTTTCATATGGCTATAGTTTACCCTTATGCAACATTTACCTGTGAAGATCCAGGTTAGAATTGATCTTCAGTAATCCATGCTTGTCGTGAGAGGCAACTTAAACGAGATCGGGTGGTCAGGCTCGCTGACTTGGTTGACACACGTCATCATATCCCTGAGTAGCGTAGATCGATGCTCATGCTGTTGATCTATGGATTGACTGGTCCAGACTCAATTATTTACAGACCGCCGCCATATAGCTGGAATATTGCTGAGTGTGGCATAAAACTAAACTCACTCACTCACTCACTTCTGTGATGTCACTTTTCAGTAGTATATATATATCTATATATAAGGACATAAATAGGTGAAAATTCAGCTTTATAACGACTTATTTTAAACAGTGTTCTTTGAAATATGTAAACGTATTAGTTATTATTTCTCTTTTTGAAACACAATTAAAGATAGAAGGATCAGCTGAAGGAGACGTGGGGTCCAACATCCTGTAGTTTGAACTTAACCATGTTAACATGGATGTGTATAACACAGCTGTTTACTTGTGGGCATCTATGGAGATATTATGATGGTAATAAGAAGGCTACATTACTGTGGAGAAGCCATGTGGCTACAATGTATTGATTCATGACAGTAATGGTTATACAATGAGGCTGAAAATTGGAGACCCAAGCTTTTGTTGCCTAGGAGAAGGGCTTCTATTTGGCAAGTTGCTACAAGGACTAGCATACATATGCCTAGGTTATTGCTCTCTTGGGGAGGAGATTTTGTGAATGTTGAATAAAAGCGTTAGAAGTACATTGTGGGTCAGGCACAATGTATTTAAAATTATGTTTTGGAGTGGAAATATGTTGGGTGAAGGCGGAAAATGTCATCCACTAAGATTTTGATAGACATTTCGAGGGTTCACTGTTGAGTGAATATTTTGGGGTTAATGTTTCCGGTTGAATCAGTACGTTTTTTTTTCTTATGAATTAAATATTTTGAAATTGTAATGTTATACCTCCTGTAGTTTTTGACAAGAATGATTCATTAGTATTCAGGTTTACCGCCCTTTGATGCTTTTGAATTACTTTGTTTGTCAAGGACACATGTTGAGCTTAATGTCACATGCATTAACAAAAAAGGTCAAGAACAAGAGCTGTTGACATCAATTGCCTTTATAATTTTACTGACTTATTGTGTTCCATGTGTATTTTTGTGTAGGTATTTGTTAGGTACTGTAACATCAAGATATTATGCACTCTTAAAGCTCTTAAATTGCATGAATTGATTTTTCCTGATAAAGTATCAGATTAAAGATCCTCAAAAGCATGATAAATGGTGAAATAATGCTGTAAATAATGTAATTTATTTGATGCAAAGCATAGAAAAAAATCTTCTTTTGAAACAGTGTGTACAACCTGACTGACAGAATTTTCATTATTTATCTTGAATTCAATTGATATGTTGATAAGCTTTCTGTGTTAAGTGCTCATGCAGAATCTGAAAACCAGAAAATTTTCCAGTGTTACCTCATTAACCTACAAAACAAACAAGCAAACACAAAACAGTTGAAAATGAGGTCCTCCTCAACGGTTATTCTACCCCTATATTTGACATCAGTGTTGGAAGAATATGTTACATGAGGTGAGGTAAGATGGACGTTTACCTTCAGTGTTCAGAAGAAATTGATGGAAACATCGTATTTCGCCAGGGCTTTGTTACATAAGGCAATCTTTAACTGCTAGGATTATCTTAAGTCTCATGGTAAATTATGTGTGTTGCAGTGGTCACAGCTCAGAAAGACTTTGCTTTGATGAAGGGCCCTGTTACAGAATTAAGAAGCCATAGCTATCATTATATGTTATTTGTGCAGTGGAGTCTTCGCTTAGATCCTATCTGAGCGTGCTAGACATGCTAAACTGTTATTTAGCTGTCAACCCATCATTACAGCACTGTTCAGTTACATGGCTGGCCATTCTGTTCACTTGGCAGTAGTTCACATGGTTCGGCCATTCTGACCCTTGGCAGTAGTACACATGGCTGGGCCATTCCTCATACTCCCTTGGCAGTAGCACACATGGCTGGGCCATTCTACCCCTTGGCAGTAGCACACATGGCTGGGCCATTCTGGCAGTAGTACACATGGTTGGGCCATTCTCGCCCCTCATTCCACCCTTGGCAGTAGTACACATGGCTGGGTCATTCTACTCACTTGGCAGTAGTACACATGGTTGGGTCATTCTACTCACTTGGCAGTAGTACACATGGTTGGGCCATTCTACTCCTTGGCAGTAGTACACATGGTTGGGCCATTCTACTCCCTTGGCAGTAGTACACATGGTTGGGCCATTCTACTCACTTGGCAGTAGTACACATGGCTGGGTCATTCTACTCCCTTGGCAGTAGTACACATGGTTGGGTCATTCTACTCCCTTGGCAGTAGTACACATGGCTGGGTCATTCTACTCCCTTGGCAGTAGTACACATGGTTGGGTCATTCTACTCCCTTGGCAGTAGTACATGGTTGGGCACAGTACACATGGTTGGGCCATTCTACTCCCTTGGCAGTAGTACACTATTCCACTCACTTGGCAGTAGTACACATGGTTGGGCCATTCTACTCACTTGGCAGTAGTACACATGGTTGGGCCATTCTACTCACTTGGCAGTAGTACACATGGCTGGGCCATTCTACTCCCTTGGCAGTAGTACACATGGTTGGGCCATTCTACTCACTTGGCAGTAGTACACATGGTTGGGTCATTCTACTCCCTTGGCAGTAGTACACATGGCTGGGTCATTCTACTCCCTTGGCAGTAGTACACATGGTTGGGCCATTCTACTCACTTGGCAGTAGTACACATGGTTGGGCCATTCTACTCCCTTGGCAGTAGTACACATGGCTGGGTCATTCTACTCACTTTGGCAGTAGTACACATGGCTGGGCCATTCTACTCTCCTTGGCAGTAGTACACATGGCTGGGTCATTCATTCTACAGTAGTACACATGGTTGGGTCATTCTACTGGCAGTAGTACACACATGGTTGGGCCATTCTACTCCCTTGGCAGTAGTACACATGGTTGGGCCATTCTACTCCCTTGGCAGTAGTACACATGGCTGGGCCATTCTACTCACTTGGCAGTAGTACACATGGTTGGGCCATTCTACTCCCTTGGCAGTAGTACACATGGTTGGGCCATTCTGCACACTTGGCAGTAGTACACATGGTTGGGCCATTTTACTCTCTTGGCAGTAGTACACATGGTTGGGCCATTCTACCTAGGTCATTCTACACTCTTGGCAGTAGTACACATGGTTGGGCCATTCTACTCACTTGGCAGTAGGACACACGTGTAGCCATAAATATCTGACTGCTTGTGATCATCAAACTTCTGTGATCACTGACATTTTGTTCACAGGTCCATTAAATCTGTATGAATATAGGTTTTTGATTGCCTCCATATACTAGCTCCAACTTTCTATGCTGTTTACACCTATTGTGTAGACTGTATAGCTGGTATGCGACCCACTGATCAGACTGCCATGGTGTTGTGACCTTATTTAAGTGGGCTTGACGCTATTGTGTGTTAGCTTGGTGCATGTCTTGCTTCAGTTACGTACTGTATTGAACAAATAAAGATTATAGGATCCCATGAATGAGAGAGTTGTGCTCTTGCATACATTGGAAAGAAAGACTTATTCAAACCTTTGTACAAGCAAAGGTGAAAAAATCTGCTCTAGGTTGTTATTCAGCATCACTGTTATGTTGTATATAAATGGTTATGTTATATATATTGTATGTTTTAGATGTTTGTTTACACTAGGTAAACATTATGAGAGAATAAACGCCAATACAAGAATAGCAGTGACATTGCTAGACTTAGTCTCACAATCTCGGAACCTGAGACCAGAATTTTTTGTGCCACCTAGCCCTTACTCTAGCTATGTCCAAAATTAACAATTCAGATTTTGATCTCTATCTCAAATGGCTCCTTTTCAGTTTAAATGAAGTTGTTTGTTTCAATATCAGGATTATATATTTTCAGAGACTAAGCATTAGCTTATGCTAGATTATGCGCTTGAAATGTTCCAAGCTAAATGGATTACTGGCGCCTAAGGTACCTGCTGAAAGCTGACAAACGTAAGGTTGCTGCAGTGGTGTGGCTCTGCTGAGTTAGTGTCTATTTATCGGATGGCCTCGTAAATCATCTTCTCTGTCAGCCAGTTGGTCTGGTGACAGCAAAATCATTGACAGGCCCCTTTGATGTAGCTTGTGTAATGGCATCACTGAGTACTGTTACTGCATTGTGAAAGATAATGCAAAATGAGATCAAAGAATCATGTTGGATATAATAGCTGACTACCAGTGAAATGTTAGAATGCATATATGTATTGAGAATTTAAAAATAAATTCAAAGAAAAAATTTGGCGAACAATATCTGCATGAAATGACATATCCTACTCTCTAATACAAATCTTAATGTTGAATTCTTTATACTGCTACTAGGCCTGACATGTAGACAGACAAGTGCACCAATTCATGTACTTGAAAAGATTCTTTAAATATTTTCATTAAAACATCTGACATAGATTCTCCTGTCGCTTCATAAGCAAACAGTGGTCGCACGTATTAGCCGCTAGTCTGTTTTCCTGCCAGCCCAAGTTAATACCCGGCAGGGAGGACTATTCTTACCAACTGTTTTGTTATGTATCGGCTTGCTCCATACCACGCAATGTGTCCACTGAACATATTTACTCAGGATTTACTTGAATTCATCGTGGGTGGGGCGTTTGATTTAGTTTGGCGGACTTGCTTACCCTGTTCTGTCCCTCTGCCTTTCTTTCCTGATCCTATTGCAAAATATGACCTGGCGGCCTGTCCTTTTATCTATTGAAACTCGATAGCTTCAGTAATTGTGGCAGGGTCTCCTGGAACTAAGTCTCTGAATGCGATGAGCCTATGCTTGTAATAATTTGTAGTGTTTGTATGTCATGGATTATCACTATAGAGATTTGTATGGGTCATGTTACAGAACAGTGCAGTGTTAGCCATGTGTTGTCAATGACACAAATACCATTTATGTAGTAAAACGTGATGTAGATGTACATTTACGGTATTGTTGACTCAGCGTTGTAGTATAGTAGGGTATCAGTGTACAAATCTTGTTTGCAGAATATATTATTGACAAATGGGAATTGTACTGTAAATATTGTTAATGCCATTCACGAGGTCTTCAGTTTTGGGTTGCCTTTGCACCTATGTTATATAGTGATTGGTAATTAATTGTAAATATTAGGGCTTGGATGGATAACACGGGTACTTAGAGTGGGTGGCCCCAAAATAGGACCCGGTATCAACAGGACAGTAAGAGTTCTGCCAGTAACCCCGTTTGAAATAATGAAAAGGGGCATTTGTATTGCACTGAATTCCGCACCACCGCAGGGGCACGCTCAAAGTGCTACTATCTGATAATTATTAAATTTATTCTATTTATTCGGATTATTTCGAGGGTTAGGTTTAGGTTTAGATTTAGGGTTAAGTTTAGGCTTTTTATAAAAACGTTAGGCCTATATTTTTATGCATAGAATGATTAAAAAAGATACGAGTTACGGGCGGAATCTTTCCCAAAGGACTATACCCAGACTTGTGGCTGTGATACATTGTTCAGTTACAATAGCTATCAATGTCTATGGTTAGAGTAGACTAGCTGAAGTTGATATTTCTTCTGACTTTAATCTTATTGAGTAAAGATAATTTAGCTAACGTCAGCGTCAGTGTATGCATCATTTGATGGTTATATATGGGTTTCTGCATATTTTTTGACAAGACTTTGTTAAAACAGTTCACAATTAGACTATTGTTATAAGATTTACAGTGTATACAGTGGGTCAGGTACTAGGTGGTTTGGTACGCAGGACATCTAGTGCTGGATGACAGGAAACATGCTTAAACTTAATGACACAAAAACAGAAGCAGTTCTCATTGGTACAAAGCAACAACTTAGCAAGGTCAAAACCGACTTCCTTACAGTCGCAGATGCTGACGTCAGATTCTCTGATGTTGTTAAGGATTTGGGTGTCAACATCGACTCTTCCTTGACTCTGGATGCTCATGTTAACCGTCTGAGCAGGACCTGCTACTTTCACCTAAGATCCATTGGTAACATTCGGCAATACCTGACAACTGCTGCAACTCAAGCCCTTGTTCGAGCTCTTGTTACATCTAGGCTTGACTACTATAACAGCATCCTTTCAGGCCTCAGTTCTAAACTCCTTGATAAGCTTCAGAAGATCCAAAACACTTCCGCCCGCATCATCAGCAAGACTTCTAAACGTTCCCAACTGCATTGGCTACCAGTTAGGGACAGAATTGACTTTAAGATCCTCTGTCTGACATACAAGTGCCTCCATGGTTTGGCTCCCTCCTACTTGTCTGAACTCCTACATCCGTATGTCCCCGCACGCAACTTGCGCTCAAACACACAAAATCGACTGGTCACCCCACCCTACAAACTGAAATCCTTTGGACACCGATCATTCTCTTACTCTGCACCTGTGCTTTGGAACTCTCTCCCATGTGGCCTTAAAAGCTCTGACACAATTGACATTTTTAAGTCCAGACTTAAAACCCACCTTTTTCCAGTATATTATGTATAACTTCATCTGTAAATACTCCAGTGTAAATATTCTGTAGCGCTTTGAGCATGCCTTAGGGTGTGGAAGGGGCGCATTATAAATATGCATTTATTATTATTATTATTAAATCTGAACCTTCCAAACCTTAGTAAAACACAGTATGTAGAATGAATTCTTCATCTGCAGCTATGTACCTATCTTCCTTCATAATATATCCATGGAAATGTTCACACTGTACATTTTGAATAGTTTCTGAATATTATGAGCAGTATATCAATCTGTCTAAGTCATAGTGTCCAAATGCACTAACATATATGCTGAAAAATGTAGGTTTTTGTTGCAATACATGTTTCAAGTTAGATGGTAAAAGATCACTTACTCCTCTTACTGATATCATTTACTAACATTTTTGTGTTGTTGATAAGTTTAGCAAATGTTCTGACACCAGGTTTACCTTACATATTTTATATACAGTAACTATGGTTAAAACAAACTCAAGATTAATTTTAGTTCGTTATATCTGTCAGTTCATTATAAACATAGTTTATTGAGTGATGCAGCTGAAAAATCATTTTTTTCAATGTATTATATAACAATGTTAATAACATCAGTCGGGGAAATATAATTTGCCCGCCGATCAAAATTACTATTACAGTAAAATACCTTTATAACGAACTCCAAGGGACCACTGAAATTAGTTCGTTATATACGTAGTTCGCTATCCACTTTTTTATATGATAATATAAGGTTTATTCGGGACTTTCAAAACAGTTCGCCATAGCAGTCAGTTTGTTATATCCGTGTTCGTTATAAAAGTATTCTACTGTATTTGTTATGTACATGATCCCAAGGTCAGAGAATTACTTCAACAGTAATTTGATGACTATTAAATGCGCAAACAAACAGTGTCATTTTGTTTATTGTGTTGACCCAATTAATCAATTTCATCTATGATTGATTCACTTTAGTTGGCAAACAAGAATCAATCAGACATTCTATTATCAATTATTCTACAGTTTGTTACTACAGTATGATAAAATTGGGTGAGCGACGTATCAATTCTAGTAAACTGTATAGAAAAGCAAAAAGGTTCTAAGGTATTTCAGTACATTGCTGCAGAAAATGAATACTCTGTGTTGTGATTGTCTTATATCTACCTGCTGGCTAAAAGGATTAATAGGCAGAAATATTGTCGATTGCGCGGAATTATTACTGATTATTGATATACATCATGGATATGAATTGTGTCATGGATAGTATCTTAATTGAACTATTGTGATGAAATAAAATTTGAATCTTCTGGTACATCTGTATGTTGGGTAAAATAAGTATATATACATATATACTTGTAGTGTTGTTTAGCCTATAATCTACACAAATTAGCCAAAATCTAGACAAATTAGCCAAAATCTACACAAATTATTTCCCGAAGGATTTTTCTTGTGAAAATTGATAACCAAAACAGACACAAGGCATAAGTGATATATTTCTCATGTTGTTATCTCACCAGGATCCATAATTGTATCAGATCAACTGGAATATCTCCCTTGCTTTGTCAAATCACAACGCTATTGACAAGATTTAGCTAAACTAACAAATAACCTTGTCTCAAGTTTGCAAGGTTCTTTATGTGTTTTCATGCTTCTTATTTCAGACTGGATCTGGAAAAACTTACACCATGGGAACAGGATTTGACGTAAACACACCCCAAGCAGAAGTAGGCATTATACCCCGAGCTGTTGATCATCTTTTTCAAGGAATTGAATCAAGACGCAAGGCAGCTTTGGCCAATGATGAACCTCCCCCAGATTTTAGAGTCAACGCTCAGTTCATGGAGGTAAGAAAACTTGAAGAGAGTTTGCCCTGTTTCCTTTTGTCCAATCTTGAAGGTTGCGATTGAGCTCTCAAAGGAATGTGTTACATACCCAGACTGGTAGTGGGTAGTAGTGTCTGCCTGTGGAGCAGGAGGTTGGTGGTTCCATCACTGTCTAAAGATGTTAAACATTGGTACTTGTTGTTACCCTGACTAGTGCTAGGCATTACAGGGATGGAACAAGGACTGTAGTTGTATACTGTGTCTGAGTAGGTGTCTATTTTAACTGTGGCAAGGCATCTTGGTGGGCTAGCGGTTTAAGATCAGCAATAGTCTAGATGAGTTCAAAATGACGTATGGGGCGATGGGTAGACTAGTGGTTCAAGCATTCGCTCGTCACGCTGAAGACCTGGGTTCGATTCCCCACATGGGTACAATGTGTGAAGTCCATTTCTGGATTCCCCCACCGTGATATTGCTGGAATATTGCTAGAAGCTGTGTAAAACCATACTCACTCACTCACTCAAACCGATGTGCTTGTGCACACCTCTGTAAGTGCAGTAACTGAAGCTGTATCCATTTCACAATTTAGCACAGATTACTTCTACCCCTAAGTCAGTTTTTATGTTTGGTCACTGTAAGTTATTCAATTTTTTCATTGGAACAAGTTTTTTCTTTGCACGAATGAGAGAGGTCTGCATTTGCTATTGTAGTACTCTACACTAAGCAATAATACATCAGGTTTGTTCCTGTAAAGAGAAAAGTTGTCATCATCTAGATTTGTTTCAAACAGCTGCTTTCCTGATTGACAGGGAGTTGTTTGTGCTGAAACACATGTTAGATTTAGTTGTGAGATAAATAGCATAAACTGCCATAGCAGGCAAGTAATACATAGCCTGGTATCCCCTGCCATGATATGGCTGGAATCTTCACAGTGTAATTATCTGTGTGATTACACAGGTTTTCACAATGGTTGAAGAAGAAAGCTCAGAGCTCCAGATAAGATTTAGCTCATGTGGGTACTGTACCCACTGTAATTTTTTGGAGTGGGTATTATAAATGTTGAGTGGGTATTTCATTTTCCGTTACCCACTGCTTTCAAATATGTGCGTATTTCAGTCATATTACTCACCTAAGTATTATGTCATTGAGTAAGTTTACTAAGCAGGTATGTTCTGCCTTATCTAATCAAAACCAAGTTAAATATAATGGACATGATTTCATAAAAAAGCACTCATCCTATACTGACAGTACAACACTTGTCCTATACTAACAGTACAACTTGATGGCAATCGATGTCTTTTTCATTACGCAAGTGATTTTTATAAATATATTCCGTACGCATTTGTTTTATACATTTGTTTTAAATTTTGCGCGAATTGGTATCCAACATTTTTTCTAAGCGTAATTGGAAATTTTCTATGCGTATACCTGGATACGCAGCTTATCTGGGCCTCTGAAAGCTTATATCCACTATAATGACAAAGCACTTTTCAGTATTTTTGTTGTTGTTGAGGTAAGTTTTCAAGGAATCCAGTCCTTTTGGTATATACCTAGGTGTAAATGTCAAAATCGTGATACCGGTAAGCAAGTCTTCATTTCTTGTCATCACTGATAGTCAGTATTGCTCCAGTGAGAACGAAAGTCAAGGTTTCCTTGGCATAACATGGAGTTCAGAAGTCCTAAGTTTTGAATACTACAGTAAATACATCAAGGACCCAGGAACCCTTTGATTTCTAACACTTAATGTATTCCTTTGGCTGGTTTCCATCCACATGTGCAGAAAATTATTGAACTGATTTCAGTTTTATGCCATATTTTTCTATTCTCAAGCTTCACTTAAGTATGAAATATGGCGTGTATGAGATAACAATTGACTAGAATATTTTATGGCAAGATGTCTACCTCTGCTGTTGATATGGATTTACTGAAAAAATATTTTCTAAGATGTCCTGCCTTCTCAAAAGCTGTTTAAAATCTGCAGCCTGTTCTCCACTATTGAATTGTAGTAAAGGATACATGATTTACAGCCAATCGATGTATTACTCACTGTGGACAGATGGATGGGTGGGTGTTGCTGTAGCAGCTGTCCTGTAATCTGTGGACATGGTCCCAGGGGTATCAGGTACATCACAACACTAGGCTGGGGGATGAAACTCATCAGTGCCCAGGTGAACACCTGGATGTATCTGAAACTCAGTTACAGTCCTGTTTTGATCACTTTTAGGCATCAGAATATATTCAATCTGGTGAGAAAGTAAAACTATGTTTTAACTCTGATCAGTAGATGGAGCTTATGTTACACTGGGTTTGAGCGTTTTCTCTGCGTTGATGCAGTCAGTAAGACACTGATTCATACCTAAGGGAAGTGACCGCCTCCGTGGTGTAGTGGTTAGAGCGCCCCCCTGGAGAGCGGAAGGTCGTGGTTATTCCTTGTCATACCAAAAGACGTTAAAATATGGTACTTGTTGGTCCCTGTCTGGCGCGCGGCATTAATGGGTACAACAAGGACTGGTCGGCTCGGAGTCAGCATAATGTGTCTGAGTGGGTATTCATGCTTCACTGCGGCATGGTATCTCAGTGGGCTAGCACTATAAAACCAGCTTCAGTCTGGGCTAGTACAAGCAGCCGCACATACACATACACACACACGCATGCACGTTGTCATATGAGCGAAATATTCTCAAGCACGACGTTAAACCCAATTTCACCTCACCTCACCTAAGGGAAGTTTTAATAGATCATCAATGTGCTTATTCCTTTTAATGTAGAAACAGGTGATGATTGTACTCACATCTGAGCATGCTACTGATCAGGTTTGCTGTAGTTTTGGAACTGACTGTATGGCCAGTATGTAACTGCACAATGTCTTATAAGGAAATTCTTAACTACTGAATTATGGAACTGGAAGAGACACATAGGACTTAAATATTTCCATAAACACGTTCTGATTGATTCTGAATGAAAATATGAATGAATCGATCCAGTGTGTTGTGAAGCCTGGCATGTATATAAGGCATTTTATTTGCAGATATTGACTTGGTAATGTTGGCACTGTTGTTGATGTTGGTCAGTTTCTTGGTTGTGCTAAAATGGTTCACCTCTCCATGTTGACAGCTGTAAGTGGGAAATTGCATATGGAAGAACCTGGTTTTTTTTTGCTCACCTGACTGAAACTAAGTCATATTAGCTTAATCAGGTTAATGTCCTGCTCATGCATCTGGCATTATCCCTGTCTGTAAACATCATCTCCTGAAGAAACACTTTACCAAACTGTAACTGTACATGCTTGTCCTTACCAGTGATGACTACAGAATCTGTTCAGGTGGCTCAATTCCAGTTTTCATTATGGCAACCAAAAAGTGTTACTTGTGGCATTGCTCAGTTTTTATGTTCAAAAGTAAAGTAAAAAAGTAAGATATGTATGTATATGTGCATTTCTTTAAGGCCTGGGTTCATATTCCCCACATGGGTAGAATGTGTGAAGTCCATTTCTGGTACCCCCTGCCGTGATATTGCTGGAATATTATGCTCTCTCTCTCTCCCTCTCAGTCCCCCCTGGATTCCGCGGCAAAAAAAATGAAATTCTGCGGCGAATTTAAGTAAATTCTGCATTTGAATTTTACAAATTCTGCACAAAATTCTGCAATGATATAACTGCTAAAACTTTGTTACTTGACATCAAATTGAACACAAATAAAAGGCTTGTAACATTTACCATGTTTTTATTCTTTAACTTGACATGTTACGTTAAGATTAAGTCAATTCAGGCAGCTATGGGAGTTCTGGGAGAGCAGGAAGTGGAGGTTCAACTACGGACGGTCTGGATCTTCGGAAGAATATTTGGAATATCTGCCATTGTCTCTTGAATGAACTTGTCATACTGGAGTCTCTGATTGTAGTAAAGAAATACCAATGCTTTGATTGAGTCTGTTTTCAGAGATCTTTGGCGTCCTGTCAATACAAGATTATAGAGGGAAAAGCTTCGCTCTGCATCAGCTGAATTAGTAACAGCATTCATGTATCGCCTAGCAAGTTTTGCTAAGCGTGGAACTCTGTCCTGTACAGAAAACCAGAAATTGGTCACATCTATTTTGGTATCACCAGCTGCTGCCACTGCTTCTGGTGCAAGTACACACACATACAAATTAAATTCTCTGGGTACACTGTAAGACCTGGAATGGCACTATATTCACACTGTAGTTTGTCTAGAATGATGACTCTACTGGGATTAAATAGTCTGACTGCTTTAAGAAATTGTAAACCAGGCTGACCATCACTTAAGTATTTCTCTAATTTTTCTTTGGCATTATCAAAAGCAGTCTTGAATGTATTCAGACACTCCACTTTCACATTTAGGGCCATATCATCAAACTGAGACAAAATGTGTTGTGTGCTGTCTAGTGTGAGGTCAGAATGTGACACAAAATAAATCATTAGTTCCTCCAAGATGTCAAACGTAGACAATGTACATGGCACACGAGACTGAAAGAAATCATTAAGATGCATGATATTTGTGCACTTCTTCAAATAAAGTCAAGGTGACACTTTATGAGATGACTCTGATCTGGATCAGTTAGCCATTCATACAAATCCTTCTCTGAATCTGGAGCACTGTTTCCACAAATATCCTTTTCGCCACAATAAACTCAACGATAATACTTGAAGTATTTTGATGATACACAACACAGTCAAACCACGAGTTCCATCTGGTACTGCATGGGTCAGGGGCATAGTCACTTTTACAGTTATCATTGGAATGCATCCTGTCAGTCAGAAAAGAACGATAACGCGCTTTTCTGCTTCCTGCATGAAAGAACATGTTGCTGAACCTTTTCACAAACTTGTTCACAAGCGTAAATGGTTTGCTGAATGCCTGACCAATAAGACTCATGATGTGCGCCAGGCAGATGATGTGAATGGAATTACTACACAGTCCACTTAACACACTATTATAAGCTTTTTTCATGTACTGAGCATTATCTGTGTCAAACACCAAAACATCATCAAAGTTGATTCCATAA